CGTTCAAGTGATACATGATTCCCTTTTATCGATCGTGTTTTAGAAATAAAAATAAATTATTAAGTTTCCATCAATTTTTTTTTTAAATTTATTCTGCTGACAAAAAGTGCATCTCAATTCAACGCTTCAATATATATATATATATATAAATTATACGTGCTGTCAAACGTCGTACCGTATGATAGTTTTTCATCATTCCTGTCACTATTTGTATATTTTACAGAATCAGTGCAAAAAGGGTAGATTTTTTTTCCTATTAATTTCTCAAATATTTTTCATCATAATTTTATCTTTCTTTATTTCTTCTTCTTACTGTAATATATCTACGATATTCGTAAAATATTTATTCATAAATGTATTTATTATTTAATTTATAAAAAATCATTATTATTTAATTTAAAAAAAATAAATAAAATAAGATTCTAACAATTGTTACATCAAAATTGTGAATTAATATCAAAACCGGATTAAAAATATATCTTTATTCAGCAAAAAAAAAAGATGTTTAATATCATGAACATTTATAAAAATTTGTAATGTAAATTTGTATTATTATATTTGTAGGATTATTATCTTGATTACCATTCGAGATGTTCAGTTGGTTAACTCGGGAAGAAAGCGGTAAACAGGATCTCTTTGAAAATGTTGCTGATGGCCTCAAAAAAATATACAAATCAAAATTATTGCCTCTCGAGCAGCATTACCAATTCCATGATTTTCATTCACCTCAACTTGACGATCCGGATTTTGATGCAAAACCCATGATTCTTTTGGTGGGTCAATACTCCACAGGCAAAACCACTTTCATCAAGTATTTGCTAGAACGAGACTTCCCTGGAATAAGAATTGGACCTGAACCAACGACAGATCGCTTCATTGCAGTTATGTACAATGAGAAAGAGGGTGTAATCCCTGGGAATGCTTTAGTTGTTGATCCAAACAAACAGTTTCGTCCACTTTCTAAATTTGGAAATGCTTTCCTTAATAGATTTCAATGTTCTACGGTCGCATCTCCTGTTTTAAAAGGCATATCTATAGTTGATACACCTGGTATCTTATCAGGCGAGAAACAAAGGGTATGTATTTTTTTACAAGCTTTTATTAAATTTTTATATTAGTATAATTTTTAGATTTAAGTAATAATTATTTTCTTTCATATTAGGTGGACAGAGGTTATGACTTTACTGGCGTTATGGAATGGTTTGCCGAACGAGTAGACAGAATCATCTTATTATTTGATGCACATAAACTTGACATTTCTGATGAATTTAGACGTTTGATCGAGGCATTACGTGGTCACGATGATAAAATTAGAATTGTTCTTAATAAAGCTGATATGATTGATCACCAACAACTCATGAGAGTATACGGAGCGTTAATGTGGTCTTTAGGAAAAGTTTTACAAACTCCTGAAGTAGCCAGAGTATATATTGGCTCGTTCTGGGATCAGCCTTTAAGATATGATGTAAATAAAAGGTGAATAGTCTAATATTATTAGTTTTATTTTTTTCTTAAAATATTAATCTCCATAATAATATAATTTAATTATTCTATCTATTATACAAAGCTATTAAATATTTTGTATAAATTCCTGGAATTTATATATAATCTTTAAAATTAAATATTCTATATATACAAATGAAAATTATATATTTCTTGTTATATTTGTATTTGTTTTCAGATTATTCGAAGACGAGGAACAAGATTTATTCAAAGATATGCAATCATTACCTAAAAATGCAGCGCTTAGAAAGCTTAATGATTTGATTAAACGTGCACGGTTAGCAAAGGTAACATTTTTCACGAGCGTAGAAATGATAGCCTATCCGCTATCAATCACCGCGCCCTATTACTAATCTTGATTATCAGTTACATATTGAGTTGTATAAATGTATCAATTACATTTAAAGACAATGATAAAATTTAATTATATATCGATTTATAGGTGCATGCTTATATAATCAGTGCTTTAAGAAAAGATATGCCCAGTGTATTTGGTAAAGATACTAAAAAAAAGGAACTTATAAAAAATTTGGGTCAAATTTATGATCAAATACAAAGAGAACAACAGATTTCACCTGGTGATTTTCCAGATTTGAAAAAAATGCAAGAATTCTTAGCTCATCATGATTTTAGTAAATTCAATACTTTGAAACCTAAATTATTAGAAGTGGTTGATAATATGCTTGTTAAAGATATTGCTCAACTTATGAGTATGATTCCTCATGAAGAAATTGGCACAACATCAGATTTATTCGTGAAAGGTATCTTTCTCTATTTACATTTTTATCTTTTATCAATATATGAATGTTCTCATATAAATATATGAAGTTATAAAATATAAAAATAAATATATCCATATTTTATTTTATTAATATATTAAATTTATATAATTATATTTATATGAAGAATCATCTCATGGTAAATGAATGTTTTCAAAAATTTGTATAATTAAATTTCATTGAATATATTCATCGGTTTCATCACTTTTATCACATATTTTAAATCACATATGTAATTTATAATTTTCTTTCTTTATTTTCATATTATTCTGAAAAATAATCAAAAAAAATTGAAAATTTTTTTTTTTATCTTATTGTTGTAACTGCATAGATTGCTGCGATCGTTCATTAAAAAAATTTTCCTATATCTTTTTATATTTTTTATTTATATTCAAATGATATGATAGATACTTTATGAGATTGTATGATATAATATTTTGTATCATAGGTGGTGCATTTGAAGGAGTAGTTGATCAAGTGAGTCCATTTGGATATAAACGAGGCGAAGGTATCGATGCTGGTGCAGGTGAGCCAGAATGGATAGTTAATAAGGAAAGATATAAATACAATGCAATATTCGAAAAACTCGGTCCATGCGATGGAAAAATCACAGGTGCAGGTAAGTTTTTATATTTACATATAACGTTTGTAATTTGTATTTACAATTCATTAAATTTCAAATAAAGAGCAATTTTTCTTGTAAATAACATAATAATCAAAGTTTAAATGTATCTTCATATGAAGATATAAATATGAAGAGTTTTTACATTATATTTGCTATTAAATATTAATAATATTCATTCATTTGGAATTACATTTTCAGCGGCTAAATCGGAAATGGTAAAATCAAAATTACCGAACAATGTACTTGGAAGAATTTGGAAATTATCCGATATAGATAAGGATGGATTTCTAGATTCTGATGAATTTGCTTTAGCGATGCATTTAATTAATGTAAAACTAGAAGGTTATGATCTACCTGCAGAATTACCAGATCATTTAATACCGCCATCGAAGCGGAATGCATAATTTAATTTTCAATTTTATTATATTCATATCTGTTCTAACTAATATGATTTGATGTATGTTTGGTATATGTTTACTGCGCACACATACAAAATTATATTTATTAATATATATATATATATACATATAAAACTCGCCAATACAACATCGCCAAATATCAAATCGATCAACGTTGCTAAATTTTTTAAAAGGTTCGAAAGAGTACGCGATAGTCATGAACTTTATTTCAATAAATATTTTTATAATTTTCATCTAATTAAAATGCAAAAAATTTGGAAAAAAGAAAAAAAATAATAAAATGATTTTTCTTAAATTGCAAATTGTTTTTCACGTATAGTTTATTCAATGCTTTCGAAATATACCACATACTCTTTCGAGTTACGCTTTCTATATTCAAACGTTTGGATTTTTCATAAAAATACGAACTTTTATTTTTTCTCAACTTTTTTTTCTTTCTTTGCTTCATGTCACATCAGTAATTAATAATAAAATTTTCTATTAATTTGAATATTTTCATGAATTGTAAACACAAAAATAAAATTATACAGATATATACGAAGAACGAACGAATGAATGAATGAGAAAATACACGCGCGCGCGTATGTAATATATTTTTCTTAATTTTTTTGAATATAATTGTTGATACAAATTATTATTATTATTATTATTATTTTGTTATTATTATTATTATTACAATTATACATAATAATTATCATTATTGTTATTATATTTATTATTATAATAATAATTATTATTATTATTATTATAGCATATTATTATATCATTAAATCTTAGAAGTGTACAAATTCATTGTATCACTCTATGACTAATGTTTCAATTTTTTTTAATTTATCAAATATGTGAATTTTTCCTGTTTTATAAAATAAGAAAAAAGTGTAAAAGTATAAGATGTTTATATTTTCTAATCATATAGCTGAGTGTACACAAATGTTCGATAAAGCAAAAGTGATATATCTTTAACAAATATCTTAATCTGTGATCAAACAAAGTAAGTTGTTCTTTGGTATTAACAGAAATTTCCATGGAATGAAATTGTTATCGTATCGCAAAAATATATGTAATGATACGAGTCATATCAAAAAAATGTAATGATATTGAATCATTTTATATATTTTTTATTTCTTTATCTATACAATATATATTTTTAACAAAAATTATTAATATTAATAATCGATAATATAAACATATTCTAATTTTAAAAAGAAAATAGAAAATCGATAAAATGATAAATATATTTGAATAAATTTTCTAATATGTTTAAAAAATAACACTGCAATTGAAAAATAAAAATATTTCAAGAAATTAAATTGTATCTTTTTTTACATACATAATAATGTATGTAATATAATGTGTCATACATACATAATGTTTAGAAGAATTCATTTTCTTCTTTTATCGACATTAAATACATGTGTATGTCTTTCCTTAACTTAACTTTACATTAGAGTTGTCAACCAGCACGATTCCCTATCCTCTCCACTAAAAAATAGCTCAATTCTACGGCGAATTTTTATAGAAGAAGAATGCCTAACATCATATTATCTCTACTGCTACATTTAGATAGATAGATGGAGGTGCTTTAACGAAAATCTGATCACGTGATATATCTTTACTTAATGTGCAATGGAGGGTAATGTGACGTCACGTATTCTCCTCCTATGGAAATAGGGGAATTGAACTACTTTTTTCTTTTGGTAGAGGGGATAACGTATCGTGTTCGTCCAACTTCATGTTTTGTGTTTATAACTTGTCATATGATATATTCTAGTAATTGATGCATTTAAAGATACATTACGAATCGATCATTTATTTACAGTCAATATATTATTATTTAAAATCAAGAATAAGCTCACTGAACAAAATTCTGTAACAATAGAAGTAAAGAAACTAAAGAAAACGAAGGGTATAATACATGAAATTTTAACAGAAAATTACAAAATATTACAATCGAATTTTCATTTTTAAAATATTTCTACATTTTAACAAATGACTGTGGATGGTACTAACAGCAACGAGCAAGTTATTCTTGTAACAGGTGGTTATGATCATACAATCAAAATATGGCAACCTCATACTGGAGTTTGTCAACGTACTGCGGAACACACAGATTCGGTAAAATTTTAATATTAAACGATATATTTTATTTCAAATCTTACTTTTTTTAAAAATTTTTTCTTTTTAGCAAGTTAATGCTTTAGATATTACTCCTGATAAATATTTGATAGCTGCTGCTGGATATCAACATATAAGAATGTATGATTTAGTTTCAAACAATCCAAATCCAATTATTAATTATGAAGGAGTATCAAAAAATATTACAGGCTTGGGTTTTCAGGTATTTTATAATTATATTCTGTTAACATCAATAGTATATTATTTTTAATTGTGAAACTATCTTCAAGACGATAATATTTTATTATATATAGGAAGAAGGTAAATGGATGTATACAGGTGGTGAAGATTGTTCAGCTCGGATTTGGGATCTCAGGCAAATACAAATACAATTTAAATACCGTACTAATTTCTTGGCATAAAAATATAAAAATAATATTGATAATAATAATAACAAAAATGACAAAAAACAATTATAATGTTATAGGTCAAGTAGTTTTCAATGCCAACGAATATTTCAAGTATCAGCTCCTGTAAATTGTGTTTGTTTGCATCCTAATCAAGCAGAACTTATTGTTGGTGATCAAAGTGGTGTTATACATTTATGGGATCTACGATCAGATCATAATGAACAATTGGTGAATATGATCAATGAAATATATAAAATAAACTCATTTAGTATGTTTAGGAATATTTTGTTTTGTTAGTAATCCATCAATTAATTAATTTTAATTCTATCTCTATTTTTATTTTTATGAATAATTATTCTTTATGTAAAGATACCAGAAGCCGAAGCATCTGTGCAAGATGTTGCAATTGATCAAGATGGTACATATATGGCAGCAGTAAACAACAAAGGTCATTGTTATATTTGGACGCTCACAGGAGGAGTAGGTGATGAACCTACGCGTCTTAATCCTCGTCACAAACTTTCAGCGCATAAACGTTATGCGCTTCGATGTAAATTTAGTCCTGATTCCACGTAAATATAATACATTAATTACATATATAATAAAGTAATAAAGTAATAAAATCATGTATCTTATCCAGACTTTTAGTAACTACGTCCGCTGATCAGACTGCTCGAGTTTGGAAAACTACGGATTTTTCTGAAGTACAAGTACTTCAACATGAAGCAAAACGATGGGTCTGGGATGCTGCATTTAGCGCAGATTCACAATATATATTTACCGGTAACAACATTAATTTTTTTTTTTTGTTTTATTATATTTTTTTTTTTTTAGATTCAATTTTAACATTTTATTCAATTTAGCTTCGTCCGATGGTGTTGCAAGATTATGGAATGTATCAACAGGAGCAGTAGAACGAGAATATCAGGGCCATCAAAAAGCAGTCACTGCTCTTGCTTTTCGTGACGAAGTACTTTCTGTTTCCTAAACGAATGATATATTTCTTCAAATTTTTAAATAAAATATCGCATTTGTACATTTTTAATAATGAAGAATATCATTTCAACTTTAAATTTATAATACACTATCTGTATTTTCGTATTTTTGTTTGTTTGTTTGTTTATTTGTGCCTTTCTTTTTTTTTTCTATTTTTCAATTATTATATTTATTTTGATCTTTATTGTATATGATTATAATATTCTCTCATGTATTTCGATCTTAAAATAGATTTGTTGATATTTTCGTTTATGTAAATCACAACATGACTTATAAATATCTACATAACATTAATATTATCTCAGAATATAATAATAAAGATAAAACTGTAATTACAATCTGAGAAATAAAGTAAAAGAAACAATATCTTTTGAAAATTCATATCTTAAAAAACAATGTATTCTCCTTTTGGCTATTCGAGTCTGTAATTCTTGAATTACAATCTGAGAAATAAAATAAAAGAAACGATATCTTTTGAAAATTCATATCTTAAAAAACAATATATTCTCCTTTTGACTATTAGAGTCCGTAATTCTTGAATTTAATTTATATTTCAATTATATTACTTTAAGTACTTTAAGCTAAAGGCAATTTTTCTACTTCACCCATTTCTGTGAAAGTTTCATCATCCATAGTATAACTTAACATAAATTTTAACGATACCGTTTCCTGTTAAGAAACAAAAAAATTATATAATTAATTAAATATAAAAATTATGTTTATAAAAATCGATAAATGTTTGAAATACAAAAAACAATTTTCATTGTTTTACCTTGGTAGGATTTGCAATTAACATAATTTGAGTAATTGCAGATGGAGGTAAAAATGGATTATGACCAGGCAATTCTGTTCCAGAAGGTGGCTGAAGTCTACATTTACATCTCTAAAAGCAAAATATTATCAGTTTTCAAAAGTTATCATTAAATCAATCGAATTAAAATTATTAATTTGTATTAAATATTAAATTGTAATTATTAAATAAACATTATTCAAAACATACTTTTGGCACCACTGCTTGAAACAAGTAATTAGTAAGTGGCTTCAAATTCTTACTCATTGTTGTAATTACTACAACAAATACATCTTTTCTTGGATTATCTCGAGCAAAATGAAGCACTACAGATATACCATTTTTTTCTTCAATTACTGTTATAGGTGGATTAATACCTATTGAAAAAAATAATAAAATTAATTAACAATCAATTTTTATTAACCATTATTATATATATTTAATTAAACATGATATTAATTATAAATATATAAAAACGATACAATATAATATAGAAACGAACAAGAAAAAAATATTGATTACCTGGTTTAATATCATGAAGATTGATATTAATGTCTGTCAATGGTTTAATCTCAGGTTCTGGACTAATCGAGTTTTCTGTTGATGGTGTTATTGAAGCAGCATCCCATGTACTTAATCGATTATTACATTGATTTGTATCTATTTTTTCATTTACATCACATTCGATAATAGTTTGAGAATTTGTATCATTATAAGACGGAAAGTTATCATTTGATTTAAACTGAATGTCAGATACTTTATCATTTTTCATATTTGTAGTCTTTGATAAGTCAGAAAAATACGAAGAATTGCCACTGCGAGGAGAGGTCGTTGAAACATAATGTTCTGCTAAGGGTTCGGTATTTGGTGGGCGGTTTATACTTTGTTTACTACAGAGATTAAAAGTAAAAGGACAAAAAAAAAAAAAAAAAAAGAAGAAAAAATGATATAACTATGATATATAATAAAAACGATCAAAAAGTAGAACAAATATATGTGTTTTACTAACCTTGCTGATTTCAAACGTGAATTTGATACTATGCCTGATAAACTTTGTTTAAGCAAAGAATCCAATTCGTTTAATTCCTCCAGTGCTTTTGCTTTACTGTCAATTTTCTTTTCAGATGTGTTGATTAATTCATCTGAAAATGGAATGTTACTCACCATTTGTTCATTTATTTAATTGATCAAATTCATTACTAAAGACGTTTGATTTGTTCAATATTATTCATTGTTATTCAATCAAAAGAGCGTATATTTCAAGCATTTTATGTTCACGGACCTTTCTTATTTTTAGGTAAAACATTGAGCGGCTGCATAATTGAATCAGTCATTAAGAATTTGTATTGGAAACCGAAGAAATATCTGAATTTTCAGACTTTCCTAATGAATTGAAGATATCTCCTAAAACTTCCATATCCGACTGATGATTTGTTGTTATTGCATTGTAACTTGCATTTACATCATCACTTTTAACAGGAATGGTCTCCATTGGAGAGGATAAATCTAATAAATACGGACTGATGTTGGAATCTGTTTTAGGTTTTATACATTTACCATGAATTATAATTGTAGTATATTTCTCAAATACTTGTTCCAATTCATCACTTGCAGCAAGTACATCACCTATATATAAATAAATAGATATACATGTAATAAAATATAATATATAATAATATATATATATATATATATAATAATAATATATAAATAAATTATTTAAATATAAAACAACCTTAAAATTCCAATTATTATGATAATTATAATTTAAAAATTATATTATATTATATACTTATAATATAATTTTGATATTAATAAAAATATGTATAAATTTTCTAATGTGTAATTTTATAACACATAAAATATTTATTTATATTCATCATATAGATCTTTAACAGATATTATAAATTACTAACCAAGCATTCCTTCATTATCTTGAGTTTCATTTGCTAACCTTAGCACAATTGGTTTTAATCGTTCACAAGCTTGATATAATTCTTTCATTAATTCAAGATCTTCTGTACTAGTTTCATTACAATTATATGAATCCAACATTTCTGATAATAACTTTGCATTGTTATGAACAGATTCTAATTCCATTATCCTACGTGAATTTAATTGTACCCTTCTTTCATCCTATAGAATAGATGGTTAATATATTCTGCAAAATTTTTATAGCATTTCAAATATGACTCACATACCTCTCTCACCATAGTTTTAATTAATCTATTTGCAGCTTGCAAGTCATCAGGATTTTTGCTTTGAAGTAATTTTTGCAACAATTTGGATTTTTCTTCATCATCAAATATTGTGTTCTTAGCTTTTAATACTTTTAATCCTTCTTCTTGTACATTATTTATTGATATAGAATCATCCTAAATGCATTTATAATTTTTAACATTTTAAAAAAAGATTGAAAGGAAAAAAAGATTATATTTCATAAAAAAATAACATGTAAAACTTACTTCGATAACACCTTGCTTTTTTAACATTTCATAGGCTTCTTTGATTTTTAATTCTTTTGGATACTCTTTTGTCCATATATTTAACAATTGCAATACTTTTTGACGCACTATAGCTGGTGTTTTACCACCCAAATATTTTGGTGAAACTAAACGAATCATTTCATTCAAAAAACGAAACTTTCCAACTTCTGCGTGAAAAGATGGACCACATCTTCTCATACATGTATCCAATAACTATGTAATTAAAAGTCAGAAATATGTATTACATAAGAATTATGAAAATTTAAATTTTCTTTATTATATATATGTATATATATTTATTTTTTTTAATTTTAGAAATTATTTTTTAATTTCAATTTATATTTAAATAATATTAGCCACTAAATATCAAACAATAAATGAAATAAAAATGAAATAAATAAATATATATAGCTCTTGGAATAAAATAATAAGATAATTTTAAATTTAAATTTATTATATAACAAAAATTGGGAAGAAACTTACAGCAAGAGCTTGAAGTGCTTCTGTCTCATTAGATGATTGAATATGCAGTGCTAATAATTTAGTACCAATTTGAATACCTTCTGATTCTTTGGTAAGCATTACGCAAAATGCTTCAATTGCAGCTATATCAGGTTTTTGATTTTGAGGATTCGTTACCCTTTCTATGTAGAAAAAAAAAGAATTAAAAAAGAGAAAAAGAAAATATATTTAATAAATTAACTAAAATTTGATGTTTATCAAATAGACAATCTATTATTGTCTATTATAAATATTTCGAAATAATATAAAATAACAAATCGAATTTTTACTTACGTATTAGGGCCTCTAAACTTGTTGTTACAACATCCATTTCTATGATTTTTTTACAATTTCTTTAAATTTACGCGTTTTAGGTTATATGTATTTATTTGACAGCTAAGACGAACAAAAGTTTTAAAGATACCATTTTGATTCCTTCTTCACAAACAGCAATCACCTTAAAATTAAATATAATATGCTTTAATGTGTACAATTAATATTCTATCTAGTTTAATTCTTTTAATGAAGATACATTAAAATATTAAAAAAAAAGTTTCTCATGAAGTTTACAAATGTTTCGTATGCAAACAGCTGTTTGCAATATAATTTACTGTAGAATTCTATTCGTAGCTCTACGAAAACTGACATGAGGCGCTGTAATAAATATTACTTTAATTCGCACAATATTGAGGACAAAAAAATATTTATAAACAAGAATTCTCAAATTTCATTATTAAATGTGTATATGATAAAAAATTTTCAATTATAATTGTAGTTTCATTGTATTCTTTAATAAATTAAGTAGATTAACATTAAGTTAAGTTCAGTGTACATTAATGTATAGACAGTCGTATTCGAACCGTCTTATCTGAATTCAGTATTTGCTTATATAAATATTCTTGACATGTGAAAATATTATTTAAATATCTGTTTCTTTATAATATATAGCAATGTTAATTATTTATGTAATTCATTAATATAAAAATACAAATATTTTTTCTAAAAATATTTTATGCAAAATAGATTTTAAAAAAAAGAATATTATGTTGAACAAATTGTTTTAAATATGTTAAAATATTTAGTCAAATTTACAGAATAAAAAGCACGCATAGAAATAACTTCATTCATATTTTCTGAAAATTTTAAATACTTCTACATATTTTTAATATGATGTAAAAATTTAACATTTTTACATTTATATCCTACAGATAAGTATCATTATTACGAAAATTAGTAATTATATTATTTATTTGAAAAATTAGCATGACTTATTAAAAAAACTATTTGTATTTTATTGATAAATTTTGTTCGGAACACTTTTTTATTATATTGTTGTATAAAATATCTGAAAAGTCGTAGCAATAATTACGTGTAACATATAATTCATGAAATATAATACAATAAATTTAACAAATCAATGTTAATATTTTTTTTCTAATTACACATAATCTTGTTTTACAAAACATTGATAATTTTATTTTTTTAAATTTTTATTTTTATGTAATAATTCAAAAATTAATTCAGAGAAAATCAATTTATTAATATTTTCTGTCATTTTTATTTTTCTGAAATAAAGTTGAAAACATTATTGCATATAATAAAGTTTTTATCTCTTTTTTATTGTTTTAGTATTAGTATTATTTAAGCTTTACTTAATATTATTTAATATATTTTTAATTTATTAATAAATTTTTAATTTTATAGATTAATATTTGATATATCGATACTTTTAATATTTTTTTCTTTTATTCAAAACTTTTTTTTTTGTTACATTTTTTATTACGTACATATATAAACAGTAATAAATTTATTATTACAAAAAAAACATGAATAAATTTATTAATAAATAAAAATAACAATAAAGATTATTTTTTTAATATTTTAAATATTGAGATAAAATTTTGATTGTAAAAAAGTTTAGAAAGAAAATCTTAATTTAATTTTCAAGCTTCATTTTTTTGTAAATAAATCCTTACATTAATAGCTTTTATTCTATTGTTAAATAATTTTTGTATATAAGATCACTCAATTTTCACTATGCAATTCACGAAATAACCTATACATATATGAAAATATTTTAATATATCTTGATGAAAAATGTGTAATTTACATATAATTTCTAATAAATTTATTTAAAAAAAGAAATTTTTTGATCATATAAAGTAGAATCTCGATTATTGCAATCTCCATCTATTACAATATGGAAATTTTAACTATTCTTGTATCTAAACAAAGGTTTAATCTTTTCTTATATATCAAGTAACTATCCTGTTATTAGCCGTATTTTTTTTACAAATTTTTCACTATTTTTTTTGTTTAATATCTAAGAATTCAAAATAGGAAAGATCTTTTTTTTAATCATATGATTACACGTATTTATTTTTATTGATACAACGAACAATAAAAGTTTGAAAATTAACGAAAATTATAAATAGAATCTATAAATTCATAAATATAGGATATCTCAGAATAATTCAAATTTATCAGATGACAAAAACAGATAACAAAAAATGATTCTAACTTCGTTTTCAAATAAAAAAAAACAATTTTTCGAGCAAAATTTTAAAAACAAATAAAATGTAGAATAAAATTTTATCATTATTTTAATTATTGTTTATAATAAAAAAAATGAAAAAAAAAATATATATATATATATATAATTATGAATGAAAATTTTTTTCTTTAAAATTATTTTTTTGATTTTTTTCTTTAAAATCATTATTTTTTTAATTATGAATTATGAAAAAAAAAAAATGTAAAATCTAAAACATTATTCAAGTTAGAAAAATATTTAAATAAGAAAAATATTAAGTAAAAAAGTGATGATTATTATCCTTCTAAAAATCATTTTTTCTATATTTTTTATTATTTTTTTCTATATTTATTATAGATAAAATGACTAATGTAATTACACTTTGAATGCAGATATGTTTTTCTTTAATGAAAACATTTATTGAAAACATCTCTCAAACTAATTATTTTTTAATCATATTATTTTAATATTTATCTATATAGAATAATATAAGAAATTTAATTATGTCAAAAAAAAATTTGTTGCATTTCAAAAAATATAAATATATACATATATATATATCCTTCCTTAGCTTTTAAACATTTTACTATTTTAATTATAATCAGAAAAGAGATGATTTATTCCATTTATGTAAATCAACTTGTATATGATTTTCATATTTATTTAGCTGTGGGACATTGGATTTCTAAACATACAAATCTTTCGTATAAAAGTATCACTAATAATCATTTATTTCGATTTACAAGAAATTAAATCAATTCTAATTTTGTATCAATGAACTTATTTCTTACAATTGTGATTATAAATAATAATTATTTTTTCAATGGTAATCTAAATTGGAAAAGATTCAAATTATTCGTGATGGCAGCACATGTTATAATGTACATATTTTACATTATTCGTCGATTCATAAAATAAAAATACTTAAAAAAGTTTCACTGACCAGCATTTATGTGTATATATCTACAAATATTCATATTCACAAGAAGAAAAAAGAATTCCTTTTATATTAAAGATATCGTTGTTTTCGTTTTTTTTTCCTTTTTCTTTTTTTTACTTTTACTTTTCTTTCAATCCATTAACATATTATAGCATAGAAAAAATATCACGTAAAGATGATGAATATCAAAATGTATCTTAAATTCAAAATATTTTACAGAGAAAAAAAGTGGTAAAAGAACTCAATAGTGGAACAAATTATTCCACTTGCCATTTAATTCCAGAATCCTTCTTCCTTAGCTTTCATTATTTTTTTCTTTTTTATTCAGTTATCCTTATTGATAAAGATAGTAATCTCATACTATTGATATACTTTCAAAATGCTTTATCTCATGAAATTAAATGTTGAATCACTAAATTTAATAAAGCCAATAATTAAATACGAATATAGGCATAGTATGTGAATCTGTATACAAATTCATGCATGAAATTTGCTGCACTTTTCTATAAAACTCGCTGTATATGGTGTAATATTAAATGAAGAATGAAGTGTTGCTTTTTCGAAAAACATAATATTTACAAATGATTTACAGTGTATGTTACAGTCTTTTCTTTGGTAAAGATCCAAAAGCAGATATTACCGTTGCTTTGGTACCAGTTGCAGACGATGTTAAAGTGGTAAGAGTTGGTTGAGACAACAAAACAGTTGGTTTTATCGAGGCAGTAGCTCCTGTTGCAACTTGATCCCATTTACTTTTCCTTTTTTTAGCATCATCGTCTGTTGTACTAGAATTATTGGGTCGCTTAGCTGTACCAGAAACGATTTCAATTTTTGTTTTCTCTTTCCTAGCCTTTTCAAGTTTATCCATTTCAGTTTTTTGAACTTTGGCAAGTTCTTCATAATACGAGTCTTTACCCCACTTAAATGGATCAAATCTGTCTGGAGGATAATTAGTACCCAATTCATTGATGCTACAAAATTGAATTAGCTTTTCATAAATGGATGGATTTCTGAAATCCTTCCTTTGTTGAATAACTTTGTTCATATCCAAACCACTGCTCTCCATTTTCCTAAAAAGTTTTGTTATTTTTTCCTGCAGTTCCACAGGACACTGCCCTGGTGGCTCTGGTGGTATAGTGACGCCATAGGAGTCCACCTCGCTATCTGAAACTAATTGTTCTCCTTGACAACAGGGAGAGCATTCCATAATCGAGGAGGGCCTTCCATTTTCAAAAGGCTGTCCATCGATCTGTGTCTGTACCACTCCCTCGTCATCGGAGACTATTGAATCATCAAAGTATGAAACCAATCTCTGCACCTTAGATGTCACATCTGTTACTAAGGTGGGCGCGTTCGACAAATCGTTACTAGACTTGCCACCGACGTTGGGAGCAACAACGGGACTATTTGAGGCTGATGTGCCAGATTTGGGACTGGTGAAAGCCTGGGGCTGACCGACTTGGGCATTATGCGGGGCGGCCCCCTGGGGAGTGTTCGAATTCTCCTGAAGGTCGTCTTCCACCCCGTCTTCGCCCTCCGAGTCGGTATAGGTGGCCGTGAGAGATGCCAGAGCAACACTTTGTACAGACATGGTTAGTTGGCTTTGAGTGTCCGCCGTACTACCAAGCAATATTTTGTGTTGGAACTCACCGGTATAGCGTAGAGTTGTACGCCTTTTAGTTGTATTGGGCTTTTACATAAATAAATATGCCTTATATATCAACATTAAATATGCCCCAATGTTTTGTTGGAAAATCTATTACTATACCGTATCTGAAAAAAGAATTTCAAATGTATAAAATATTCATAAATTATTATTATATACTTGAGTGAAAAACATACATATAAAATATTCCAAGTTACACATTTCATTAATAAATTTGCGATTCCTTATTCTATTTATGATAGATAGCTATTAAATGAGATAGGAAGAAAAATATTAAGATATTTAACATATATGTACATTTATCATGTAATTTAAACATGCTTAAATTCAATCCATTTTATCGGTATTTTTGTAAAGAGTTTGCAAATTATTATTTTGGTTTATGAAAAAAACTACTTATTTTAAATTTACTAATCATTTGACAAGCGCATCAGGTTATGTCATTAAAGATTAAAATTTTATGCAAAAGTTACAACCAACCTGATTATACGAATCCACAGTTTTCCTGCTTACACTATACCTGACTTTCCATTCATTACAATAAACTTACGACTTATTATCCTCCTATTAATTAAAGTTTCCTTGGCCGAAAAATTCGAACGTTATCAATGTACACCGTGATATTCTAAGTTCTTGTACTCTTTTTACGAATTATGATGATGCGCATGCGCAAAATTAATAAAATACTTCTGTGCTCTTAACGAAAGATTAAAAAAAACTTGAAACAAGTGTAATTCTGACCTCTGCTATTTTTTTTTCTATTGTTATTATAAAGTTTTTCTATTGTTTTTCTTTTCTCAAGAAAATATAAATTACAAAATTACATTACATATAACTTACATATAACATATAACTTTTTTGTAATTGATAATTTAACAATTTAATTTTTTTATAATATTTCATAATTATCTTATTAAAAATTTTCAATTATTTATTTTGTGTTTTGTTATGAAATTAGAAAAATATTCAAAAAATATAAAATCCTATATATGTAAACTTGTTTTTCTTCTATGGAAGAAAACCTTGTCTTTTTAACGAAAAATAATAAATTAAACGAAACTTTTTAGAGAAAATGAAGGAAAGATAAATGCAAAGCATTGTATTAAGTTAAGTATTATTTTTACATACAATAAAATACCCTGAAATATTTACTTAAGATTAGCACTCATATTTACTTTGAAAGCTTTAAATACTAAATACGCGTGCGTATGTACGTCATCAATGCACCAGCCACCAGTGTCAGAACACGAAATATGAGTAATGAGCGGTGTTGAGTTGGAGCATGTGTGTCTTTATTGACGTATCTGATTGAATCCACGTGTAATTTAATAGAAATTGGATTTTAGCATTATTAATTATCATGGTATTAGATTTAGATTTATTTCGAAAAGATAAAGGTTTCGATCCTGATAAAATACGAGAAAATCAAAAAAAACGTTTTAAAGATGTAGGTTTAGTCGACACAGTGATTGAGAAAGATAAAATTTGGCGTCAGCTGCGACATAAAGCTGATAATTTAAATAAATTAAAAAATGTATGTAGTAAAGAAATTGGAGAGAAAATGAAAAAAAAAGAAGCAGTAGATGGTGACGATGCTGTTTCAAAAGATATTCTTGAAAATCTGGAAAATTTGGTCCCTAATAACCTGAAATCGCTAACAGTTGCACAAATTAAGACTGTTCGTAGTTTTATCGATGATGCTATTCGAACTAATGATAAAAGTTTAATTTTAATTGAATCTGAAAGAAATCACGCACTTAAGGAAATAGGAAATATTTTACATGAATCTGTACCAATTAGTAATGATGAAGAGGAAAATAAAGTATATAATTTAGTATAATGAATTTTTATGTAATATATTAATGTAAATTGTATAAAGATATCTTTTTTATTTTTAGGTTGAAAGAACATATGGAGATTGTATGCAAAAAAAAAAATATTCTCATGTTGATTTAATACATATGATTGATGGTATAGATGGAGAACGTGGTACTACTGTTTCAGGAGGGCGTGGTTATTTTTTAATAGGACCAGCAGTTTTTCTGCAACATGCATTAATTCAATTAGCTCTTAGGAAATTATATATAAATGGTTACAAACCACTTTACACTCCATTCTTTATGCGTAAGGATGTTATGCAAGAAGTAGCACAATTATCTCAATTTGACGAAGAATTATATAAAGTATAGGATTGATAATTATATATATAAATATATAAACATTAATGATTTTGCTTAAAGTTTTGTTACCTTATTTTTAGGTAATTGGTAAAGGTAGTGAACGCAATGAAGATAAAGAAATTGAAGAAAAATATCTGATTGCTACCTCTGAACAACCAATAGCTGCATTTCATAGAAATGAATGGATTCCTGAAAATATTTTACCAATTAAATATGCAGGATTATCCACATGTTTTAGACAAGAAGTTGGATCTCATGGACGTGATACGAGAGGTATTTTTAGAGTTCATCAATTCGAAAAAGTAAGCAACTTTAATTTTAGTTATATAAAAAGTATAATAAATTTACATACTATAAATATAAATGAATAATAGGTGGAGCAATTCTGTTTAACATCTCCATATGATAATAAGTCTTGGCAAATGATGGAAGAAATGATTTTGAATGCAGAAGAATTTTATAAATCATTGGAAATTCCTTATCGTATAGTAAACATAGTATCAGGTGCATTAAACAATGCTGCTTCAAAGAAATTAGACTTAGAAGCATGGTTTCCAGGATCAAATGCTTTTCGCGAACTTGTTTCATGCAGTAACTGTTTAGATTATCAAGCAAGACGTTTATTAGTCAGGTGATAAATGATAAACTTTTATACTAACTTATTTTATTATACTATTTGTATATTATATATTTTATTTTGTGTTATTATGTTGTGATGTTGTTAATGTTAACCTCATTCTTGCAAATATTATATTGATATAATTGTAGTTTTATATATATATCAATGTATTCTAGATATGGCCAAACTAAAAAAATGAATGCTAATACAGATTATGTTCATATGTTAAATGCAACAATGTGTGCAGTTACTCGTGTTATATGTGCGATTTTGGAAGTACATCAAACTGATACTGGCATCAAAGTACCAAAGGTTCTTGCACAATTTATGCCAATGGAATATGAAAATGAAATTCCATTTGTTAAACCAGCTCCTATTGATGAAACAGAATTAAAAAAACAAAAAAGGCAAAAAGAACGGAAAGATGTCACCTTTACCTAAATTTTAATTTTTTTAAACAAAAATGATGAACTATTATCTAAATATTACAGATAATAAATTCAATATGTTAATGGAATAAATCTCTCATAAATATATTAGAAAAGATTGTTAACTTTTTTTTATTAATTATATGACGATACATATTTACAAAGTAATATGATATAATAATGAATAAACTGCAATCTCTTAATTTGCATATAACAATTCTATACACGTTGGATATTTAGAAAAATGCAGCTTAATAACTTAAAATAATTAATATATTTAATCAAATGCTTTCGGTCACATTCAATTTTTTCAGAGATCTTTTCTTTTCTTCAGCCTTTTTTAAATTATTCAATACAGAATGTTCAAATTCAATATCTGACATGTTTTGATTTACCTGTCATATAAGATTTGATATGAAATGAAACATAAAAAAATTAGAAAATGAATAAATATAAAAAATTAAAAAATATTGTGTTGTTATTTATTAAAAAAATATTATTTAGTATTACTATTAATTATTATCAATTACTATGCTTATCTGCTATATTTACCGTATGTTGTGTAAAATTAATATCATTGTAAACAGTCCCTGTGTTAAAAATATTTGATTTTTTTTGTTCATCCCATAATTTTTGAAGTTTCAATGGGTTTTGTGCTAAACCAAGTTCATTTAAAGCCATTTCCTAATAAAAATATAATTTCATTCTCAAAATTAAATAAATAAATAAAACGAATATTTTTATATTTTTTATCTCAATGTTATAAATAATAACTTACTGCTTCATTTTTTTCTCGATATTCTACTAATGCTCTGCCTTCTTTAGTGGACGAGATAATAAGAGCAGTTATGTTCCCATACTAAAAAATAAAGCAAATATACATTGTAATTATATTATTTGTTGACAAAAAAATAATGACAAAACACTATAATAAGTATCATAATAATGATATAAACCTTCGAAAATATTTGATGCAATGTATCATAATCATATTCATTATTATTAGATTGATTTTTACGAGATTTCCATTTTACTTTTAATTTATAAGAACCACTATCAATTTCTGATTCTTTATAAAATGTTTTTGATCGTTCTTCAAAATATTTTTTCATAAATGCTATTTCTTCTTCTACTTGTTTCGATCCTTCTTTTTGTAATCTTTCTATTTCAATCTGCAATAATGATTGTAATAATATTATATAGAAGAATATTTATATTATATCAATTCATTATAATAGACATAGAATTAAAAATACCTGTAATTTATCTTTGTCTTTTCTAATGTCAGAATCTATTTTGTAAGCATTTTCTCGTGTTTCTAAATCTTCTTTTAATTTTTTACGTCTTGAATCAAATTCTTTAGCACGTAATTTTGCTTGATGCTTTGCATTAATAACTTTATCATAAGCTGCCTTATTTTGTAGATATGAGATATCATTAATAAGAAATACAAGAAACATATTAATGAAATATAAAAACAGTATTATTATACTTATTATTATTATACTTACCCGAGCAGATATATCAGTAAGAATTTCTAATGCTTGTGACAATTTATGAAATAATTCATTTGCCTTTGGATTATTCGGATTTTTGTCAGGATGACAATATAGAGCTTTTTTACGATATGCTTTCTTGATCTGAAATGATATGTATTTAATATATATACTTTCAACTTCAAGAAATTTTATAAAATATTTATACCTCTTGAATAGAAGCTGTTTTCTCTATACCAAATAATTCATATAGATCTAAATTTTCCCAAGAATCCATCTTTTTTTTCTATTTAAAATATTTTCAAGATTGATATTTAATATATAGAAAAAGATTAAGTTTATATTTAGAAGAAAAAGGTTATGTTTATATTAATTTTAAATATTGAATTGTTTTTCATTGAATGAAATATTTAATTATTTTTCTTTCAGTTATTTATGAAAATTTAACACTTTTATTAATATATATGTAATATACATGTAAAAAAAATATGATATCAATATCTCTTATCATTGAATACATGCATTTTTATATGACGGATACAAATTTTATATTATCTTTTCTCCTTTTCTTTTTCTCGTTTTTTCTTACATTCTCATGACCTCTTTTTTCCTTCTTCAATTATAATGCGCATTTGTAAATAAGTATTTAAACAACTTATATAGTGAATACTATTTATTTGGATATATGTTACACGAAATGTTACGTAAATTTTAAAATAATTATTATAATAAAGATATAGATATTATTGATATTATTATAGATTAAAATTATTTTTAAAACAATGATTGAAAAAATTTTTTTTAACGTATATATTTAAAAAATGTGAACAGGTATTTAATGCAACAGGTAGGTATTTATAAAAGGCAAAAAAAGTAATAAATAATGCAAAAATATTTATTATTTTTTTTTATATCATGTATTTAGGTACAAAAATTTTATAGTAATAAAATTACAAATACTAAAATTGTTGATATAATGAATGAAAAAGATCCTTCTTTTTTGGGGATTCAAACTGTATTTACTAATGAATTAAAATTTGTCAACAAAGAATCCTATGATACTTTACCAACATTTAGAATTTTAAACTCATTACACAAACATTTTCAATTACCAAAGGATCTCAAGGTTTGAATAACTAATATTTATTAAGGTTGTATACAAATAAATTTTATGTTAATATCTCATTTTTTTCTCTGTTTCTTTTTAAGCTAGATGAACAAATTTTAATTAAAATGTATCATAAAATGATTACTCTGAATATAATGGATAAAATACTTTATGAATCTCAACGACAAGGACGTATATCATTTTATATGACTAATACAGGAGAAGAAGGAATTCAAATTGGTTCTGCAGCTGCTGTTACATTAGAAGATATTATATATGCACAATACCGAGAAGCTGGTATAAAATATTAATTTTTGATCAATTAATAATAATATATTTAAAGTAAATATAATTTAATATAAAAAAATTTCATAGGTGTTTTATTATGGCGAGGATATTCTATTATAGATTTTATGAATCAATGCTATGGTAATCATAAAGATGTTTCAAAGGGAAAACAAATGCCTGTTCATTATGGATCAAAAAAGTTAAATTTTGTTACTATTTCATCTCCTTTAACGACACAATTACCTCAAGGTAATATAGATTATAAATATTTCATCAAATTATGTAATTTCTTTAAAAATATAAAAATATAAAAATTGAAATTATTATATTATCAACATAATTCTGATAATTTTAATATATCTGTTCATTTTTAGCTGTAGGTACAGCATATGCACTCAAACGATCTCAAAAAAATGCATGTACAATTTGTTACTTTGGTGAAGGAGCTGCTAGTGAAGGAGATGCTCATGCAGCTTTTAATTTTGCTGCAACTTTAGAGTGTCCAATAATTTTTATATGGTAATGTATTAATAATGTACGAAAAAATATAAAAATATATAAAATATTTTTAAAAAAATAATATTATGTTTTTAGTCGCAATAATGGTTATGCAATTTCAACTCCTACTCAGGAACAATTTAAAGGAGATGGAATTGCAGCAAGAGGACCGGCATATGGAATATCAACGATCCGTGTGGATGGTAATGATGTTCTTGCTATGTATTACGCGACAAAAACTGCTCGTGAACTCTGTATTAAAAATGGAAAACCTTACTTGATTGAAGCTATGACTTATCGGTAGGAAAAGTTTTTTTTTACATATTAATTTTTTAAAATATTTTTTACTATACATTTTTTTTATCTTTTAGAATTGGTCATCACAGTACTTCTGATGATAGTACTGTGTATCGATCTACTGATGAAATAGATCATTGGAATTACTATACACCAATAGTACGGTATCGTAATTATTTGGAATCAATTGGTTTGTGGAACAAAGAGCGAGATAGGGAATTAATAAGTGTATAAAAAATTCCATTTTACTTGCTTTTGCTGAAGCAGAAAAAGAACTTAAACCATGTTGGAAAGAATTATTTACAGATGTATATCATACAATGCCAAATCACATATGGTACATTTGCAAATTTTTTAATTAAATATTTTAAAGAATTTTATATTTTGAGTAAATGTTCAAAAAAATTTTTTTTCATCACAAATATATTATTTTAATTTCAGGAAACAAATGCATTCTATGGAAAAGCATATTAATGAATTTCACAAATATTATCCATTGCATCTTTTCAAACAATCAAACAATCATAATAATGAATAGTTTAATAAATAAATTTAATAAAGTAATAATAATAAATCAAATTAATTATATTTAATAATCTATATTAATATTATATATTTTTTATATTATTCGATAATAAAAAGTACATACACTTATAAATTTATATTAGTAGTTATTTCTTTATATTTTTCCATTCTATATTCTTTTCTAGCTGCATCAAGTAATATATTGTGAAGTAAATTATGCTGATGTGGATTAGATTGTTCTATAGGGGGATATATGTTTCCTTAAAAAAATTATATTAATAAATTAAAATTAATTTTTCATAATATATAAACAAATAAAAATTTGTACAAAATATACCCTTCAATTCTAAAATAGCTCTCTTAAATCCAAATCCAGGATATATACATGGTGCATTATGAAGTTTTGTAAATGAAGTTGTATAATTTTCATATCTTGGTACAAGTACTTTAAAAAGTTTATGAACAAATTGTTTTTCAATTATCCAAAAATTTGCAAGTTCCATAGTTTCTTTATGATCAGGGCCATAACGTAATGCTTCTGATATTAACTATAATAAAGAACAATTATAAAATAAGACTAAAAAAAGATTAATTAGAAGAATTTTAGAAAGTTTATCATGATATTTACCTGTTCAACATAACCTCTTGTTTCATCTGCTCTTGCATAATTCAATTCAATTCTCTCATATTTAATTACAGCGGTTAATGTTTTTTTAATTTTTCGTAATCTTCCTTCTGGACCATCTACATTTTTTAATTTACGTGGTTCTGACCTAATATTATATCTTAATCTAGAAACTAGTTTTTCAATTTTTGCCTGGTTCATTGTTTATTATATATATTAAATAATGACTTTTATTGATAATTCTATTAAATCAATTGTTCATTATAGAAAAAGTATTATATAATTTTTATATAATTTTATGAATTTTTTAATATTAATAAAAAATATTTGTACTACTTATATCAAGCATTCTTTTTCTACCTATGTATTACTTCGGCTATATTGAAATATCTATATACAATATATTCAATGTAACTAGTGATTAAATGTAAATAAAACATAATCAAAATAGAACCAAATTCATAATTTGTGATATATTATAAATAGAGATAAAAGAAAAACTTTAAGAAATTATAATGATTTATAAAAAAAACAATATTTTATTTTCCTTTTCAATATTTTTTTTTAAGATTTTTTTAGATCTAATTATTTCCAATATTATATTTATTTTTTTCTTTTCCGTTGTTTTCCGTCTTTATATTAAAAAAAAAAAATTTATGTGAATTTCATTAGAATTTGAAATGAATATTTTCTTTATATTGATTATATAATATAAGATAAAAAATAAAATAAAGTCAATTTATCATAAGTTCACAGTTTCGTTAATTTAAATTTTTTTTAATAAAATATATATTATTAAATATATATTATTTATTATTGATAAATATTAATAAATGATATAGAATTGTGATATATATCAATAGAAAATTTTTATTATATTATTATTATACATATAAATTTTTGCTCTTACATGAACATTGAATAAATTTTTTTACAAAGTGATAAAAAATACTTTGATAAAATAAAATAGTATAGTATAGTATAGTAACTTTGAATAATTAAAAGTTTTATAAGATTTTAAATGTTTTACTTATATACATATTGTTACATTATGTATAATGTATAATGCATTTAATTCAACTTAGTGACTCAGTAAATTTGAATTTACAAAAAAAAGTCACAACATTAAGGTCAGTGATTTCAATCAACTTATTTTCAATTAATTTAAAACGAGAATAAAAGGACACATATTTTGGTATTTATTATTATCCCAAATAAAGAGATTACAATGTATAAAAATACCTAAAAAAACAAATGTTTGAATAATTAGCATCCTCTTATTTTCATTTATATTCTTAAATAAAATTATTCTTACATTAATATAAAAGATTGTATCTTATTTTTATTACTACAGTCTATGATATCGATAAAATACACCAAAAAACTATTATTTTTCTAAATCTGAGATATCAGAACAATATTGAATATGATATTGTTTTTTTTCTTATTTTCTGTATTGAACATATAATTCCATAATATCATATATTGTTGTGTTTTTGTTAAGCTTTAAAAAATCGCACTACACGCACTACATATTGTTTACATATCGGACATTCTGACATTTGTTTACCACAATTTAAACAACAAGCCATATGACCACATTCTAAAATTACACATTCAAGTGGTTCATTCCAACAAATTTTGCAAAGATTTTCGTCCAAAATTTCTATTAATAATAAAATATACAAGTTAAAATTTTTTATACTTAAAAAGTTAAATATTTAATAAAGAGAAATTGTATCTTACTTGTTCTTGATTGTTTGTATTCTTCCCATAATCTGGAAGCTTTATTCAATAATTCATATCTTTCTACACAACCTTTATAATCAACTCGATTTATACTTAGCAAGTTCTTTAATTGTTTTACACTTAAACATTCCAATTCAGATAATGTATTTATATCAGATAATTTAATAGGATTCTGTATACAATACAAAAGAGAAAAATAAAAAGAAGAAAAGAAAAAAATATTATTATATATAAATTTAATATTATAAAATAATATGTATATAATTACATACCATAGAACTTTCTACAATTATATCAGAATGTTGAATATTAGAAATTTTTGAAGTCTTCTCTCCTGTACTTATAGATTCTGTTCTTCTATCTAAATAAGAATTAATAGGAGAAATTCCCTCTGATATTTCATTATGATCAATTCTTGCAGCATTGATTTCATCATTGTTAAAAAGTTGTGTATTATGTTCATAGCTTCTAGTTGTTGTTGATTGATTAGGAGGAGAATTATCACTGAAATTAAAATTAAATAAATATCAATATTTTTAATTTTTTAATCTTTAATTAATCGCAATAAAAATGTCTGTAATTTAAAATAATTTTTTTGTAAAAATATATAATGCAGCAGAAAAACATATGATTTCTTAGAACAGAAAGACATTAATATTTCTAATTAATTTTTATAATTAGTTACATTATAATATAGCTTTGATCAATAATCAATAAAAAATTTTTGGAATCTTTATTGCATGCAACAAAATAAAAGCTTACATGTTTCTACTTCTAATGTTCTCTGCATCTTCTGTATTCCAATAATCACTAGAATTATTAGCAAATGCCATTAACAATTTTATTAAGTCTTCTTTTTCTGTAATTAAAATCAAAAGAAAAACAGAAAATATTAATTAAAATTTATCATGAAAAATTGTAAATATTAAATATTTTTATATAATATGATATATAATTTTTATATAAAAAAATATTAACCAATAATATTGGAATTTGAAATTATTTTTTACTTCAATATACATACCGATACATCCTTTGATAGGTATTTTTTTTGCCAATAGATATTGTTGTATATCTTTAGAACGCATTTGTATGATTAGACTTCGTATTAAAGGTCTTCTCGATAACATATTACAACTGTCACAACTTAATATCTTGTCTAATCTCTTGATCACACATCCAGAACAAAAATATCTCAAACAATCCATACATTGTTTCTGAAAGTATTTCATGAAAAAGTATTCATTTTTAACCCATATTTGTAAATTAAAAAGCAAAATAACCAATAATCTTACCTTCCGTGTAAAGAAGTTGAATTTTACGTTACAAGCTTCACAAGCCATGTCGTTCTAGGAAAATAATACAATAACAAAAATACCAAAATGAAAAAAATCTTAAATTTAAAGGTTAAGTTACAAGGACAAACAAAAATACTTACATATTTTAAATGCTATAAATATAAATAGAAGAATATGTTAAAGAAGAATAACATGGAAAGACATTATCATTCTATGGCACTTTTTTGGCAAGTTTTAAAACTCTTGACAATTGATAATTAACTATGTACATACCAATCGATTTGAGGTAATAAAACACGGTGAAATTCCACAGTAAGAATTCATTAAAGATGGCGATAAAAGGACACGAAATCAATAACAATGTTATTAAAACTTATATTTTGCTATGTATAAAATGTATTAAGTTACCAAACTTTCGGTATTGGAAATACAATTTATCTGTAATATACATGTTATCAATATTAAAATTTAATTATGAATAGGATAGTTTCGATTCAATTTTTATTTTTTATTTTTTTATGTATTATATTTATTTTCAATTTTTTATTCTTCTTATTTAATTTATTATTTGATTTCTTTCTTGATTTCATTTTCTTAATTCATTTCTGTTTAATGCAAAGATATTCATGCTATTCAAAATTTTATTTTAGTTCTTTTTTAATCTCGCGTACTTATTAAAATCTTTAATACTTTTAAAAAATAACGATTGTAAATAGAAAATAATAGAAAATTCTTCTTTTATTATTACGTAATTGATACATATGATATAATATGAATATATCGCATGTATATTATGAGTGTTTTAGATATAAATTTAGATATAAAAATATAATCGATTACATATTTAATATGCATATTCTTTAAATTAAGAATAATATTGAAAATCGATATTTTACAATAATTACAATAAATTATAAAAAATAAATTATAAATAAATAAACATTAATTTCAATATATTGCTAGAATAAAAAAAGATTGGAACATAAATTTCATCAATTTATATTATTAATTTTTAACAGTTGAAAATTATATTTTTATTTTTATTATAATATAAAACGACATAAATATATAAATTACTAAATATAATATGGCGTAAAAAAGATAGTGCACGTGTATACACATGATGTTGGCCTCATAATTAGATATATTCAATGGAGGCCGATAAAGTATAAAATGCAATTATTTGATTTTTCATCAAGTCGAGAAAGCCCATTTTTTTCCATCTTCCATTCAGATTTTCATAATTACAAGCAATAATGATGATCAATTGATTTTAAAAGATCTTTTTTTTATCAAGGAAAAATGTATACATAAAAAGTGTATATATTATTTATGCATTTGGAGAAAAATAGAACATGCGCATTATTACATTATTACAAAAATTTTTCTTTGACTTGAATATACAGGATTTAAAAATAATGATATAATATAGAAATGATTCTATTTGAAAATATAGAAAAAAAACTTTTTCATTTTCAAGTATGTAAATCAAGTTTAAAAACTTTTTATACTTATCTTTATAATTTTTTTATAATTCTTAATAATTTTAATTGCTGTTCGTTTATATCATTCATTCTAAGATTATATACATATACATATACATATACATATATATATATATATATATACACATGTAAGTAGTAGTATGTTATATTGGCTGGCTTCAGACGATTTATTATTTACATTAATCGTATCGTGTGTTTAATATTTTCAGAAAATTGATTTTCTTTCCGCATTCGGTCCATTGACAAAGTGGAAGGAAAATATCGATTTTTTTGTTTTATCTCATCTGTTTCTTTGGTAGTTACAATGTCTTCGTGAAAGGCATCTTTTCTGGAAAATAATATATAATATTTAATAATTTCTGAGATAAATTTGTTATTATATTATATGAAATATGATATGAAATAATTGCATTTGTTTATATATTATTTATATTTTACAAATATAAAATATTAATATATATATATATATATATATATTTTTACATACAAATATTTATTCTCTGACGAACGAAATAACGATTTTGGACAATCTTTGAAATAAGGCCAACACTCTCCATGAAACTTGCCTCTGTTTTCAGCCTCAACATATTCTTTCAAAAGATTTGAAAATGGTGATTTACTAGCACTGTAATAAAAATTTACATATTACGAAAGAATGACTTGGAATGATTTTGTTTTTAAAAATAATAAAACGATAAATAGAATAAAAGAAAGCAGAATAAAAAAAATACAAATACTTATATATAGATATTCCTATTTCATACATATTTAAATACAGATGTACACGTATAATAAATGAAACCGAACTTGGCTCCATTTTTAATTCATGAGTATATATATATATATATATATATATATAT